GAAGTTAGTTAATTTTTTTCCTACCCCTGCTTTAACTTTATCCCAAAAGTTCTTATAATGGGATTTTCATTATCATTCAGTTCTCAGTATTTTCATTTTATATTAAGATTCTTCTTTGCTAGTTTTAATTATAAAATATTTTTTTTCTTTTTGTTATGGAGTTCTAATATAGTTGTGATCAGATAGTTTGAACTGAATGAGAAATACATTTTGAAAATCTATAGAGGATTACATTATAGCTTGATATATATTTGTATATGTTGTATGTTTTCTTGAAAAGAATATTTGTTCCTAGTTATTAGGTTCACAGTTTTATGTAAATTCTCTAGACTAAGCTTATTATTTTATGTAAGTCTGGGTATGATCATTCCAAATTCTCAAGTCTTTAGAGGCCTAAAAATTTTTTTAATGATTTTCATGTCTTGTGATGTTTCCTTATGAGTCTTATGATATTTTTTGTAGTTTCATGTTTCTTGATCTTTCTGCTTGGGAATCCTGGGCACCTGAATCAGGAATGCTTTCTTTTAGACGGGTTACCTGGAGCTAGTGGGGTTGCTTCTAATTCACAGTAAGTTAAAGTTCTGGCAAGGTTCCACTTTTCCACTAGCCCAAAGCTGAGGCTTTCAATTGAATGTTACTGCCAGAAGCAAACCTAGAGCTTCTCTGGAGGAAAATCTTCTCCAAATTGAGGCTTACCATATGTACCCTTCATAGATAACATGAGGAATATTCTGAAATTTCTGACATTATTTAAACAGTTCTCTTTTATTCTAGTTATTTTGAGTCTGATACTATCCTTAGGATGGTACAGGGTGTGGCAAATTCATACTTTTTTTTCTTGATTTTTTTCCTGCCCTGCACCATATATTAAAGTGAAATTTTGTTAAAATGATACTAAGAGTTCTTTTGACAGAACAAAGAAGTAGGTAACAAGAAAGAGGACATCATAAATGCTATTTCTTAAAGCTTGTCCTTCATGCCTTTAAAGCAGCTATAGGCAGAACCACTCTTTCTTCTTCCAAGGCAGCTTTCTGGAATCATTTATCTAGTTGTTTGGGTGCTATGGTAGAGATCTGAAGAATCTAGCTAAAAACTTCTTTTGATATGAGTGGATGAAAAAAATGAGTCCCAGGAAATCTTACTGAATCCACTGGAAATGCTTTAGAAGTAGTGATAGAGTAAAGAATGAAATGAATTGTGGTTTTAAATACTTAAAAGGACTGTGGAGGATGAATTTTTTATTCTTTTCATTTTTATTCACTGTACAATAATGATGGAAAATTAATCAGAACTTAATCAAACTCATAGATTCGTTCTGAGTATGTGGCCCTGTTTCCAAAATTGATGGAGAATGCAATGCTTACATTATAGATTGAGAAATTTATTTCTCAAGGAAATTTGTAATATTATTAAAAAGAAATAGCTAGCAGGTATTTCACAGTATCATAGAATGTCTCAACTTAGTTTCTAGAGTGCTTAAAAAAAAACCTAAATTTTAACTGTTTATGTAGGGGTAATCAGACTATAGATAACTAGTTCCATGTCATCTAAACCTTGTGTAATCTGAGTGATAAGCAGAAATGCTATTTAATACGATCAATAAAGTAATAAAGTAAACATGTGTTTAAATCTGATATACTGTATCAGTTCCTGTGACTAGTTAGGAGTTAAAATGACAGAGGTGTCCATCTACCAAAGGAGACAAAGGAGAGGAAACAGTGAAGCCTAGATGAGTATGTTTGGCCACAGATAATATTTCTGGCAGATATTTGACATCATTGATTAGAATTAGAGATCTTTACCTGGAGAGGTAATGGTAAATTCGTCTTACCTATCTAAACTTTTTATAGTAATTTGTTTTACTTGTTTCTTATTATTCATGAAAAAGAGAAAATCAGATAAAAAAAATCTTGGGCAAGGATTTATCTTCATTTTATATTACTTTCATTTAAAGTTGATATCTTTTTTACTTTGGGGTTGCCCTTGACACTAGTTGAACAAAGATTTTGAAATTGTCATCCAGTTTTATGGATGCATTTAGGTGATTTTTAGATGTTAAACATCTAAAAGATTTAAAGTTAGGATTTAGGATCTTAGAATTGTATTATTTTATTCTAGTATTTGTGTTATATTTAGGTCTAGTACTTCCCTATTTTTTGACTACAGAGTATAATAAACTGAATATTGTAAACATTATTATGAAAATAAATAATTACATCTGCTGATTTGTTTATAGAATATTTCTGAATTGTGGAATCACACCTTAAAGTTTGATGATTCATGAGAAATGACTATCAAGACTATGTATGATTTTGGGGTTTCTGGGAGAGCCTACTAAATTGTACGTCCTCTTCTACTTTGGTTTTGAATCAGTTGAGAAATAAAGTGTAGCAAATGTGAGCCAAAAAACCAACTTAATCATTGATAAAATCAATTTGAAAGATGCGGTTTAGTGGGAGGAAATGGACACGTTCACTGAAGCACAAACGAGGTCAGCTTGTACACTCACTCACAGCAGTGCCAACCCAGTATCTCCTTCCTCAGGGTCTCTGTCTAAATCTGAAGAAAAAGGGGGAGGATGAGCCCAGTATATAGTATATTCTTCCCAATCAGATAAGTCATTCCATAAATGGATAAATTAGTCTTTGAGGCTACTGTTTGAATTACCACATGCTTGGTGACGTAAAATAACAGCAATTTATTCTTTCAGTTCTGTAGGCAGAAGTCTGAACTCCCAGTGTCAGCAGGATTGGTTCCTTCTGGGGCAGTTTGGGGTTCCTTGGCTTGTAGGCATGTAACTCTATTTATTGCCCCCTTCTCCACATGGCTCTGGGTCTGTGTTTACTTCCTTCTGTCTTCTTATATAAAAACATTCATCACTGGATTTCAGGCTTTTCCTAATCTAGAATGATCTCATCTCTAGATAGTGTCCTTAAAGGTATATGCAAACTGCCTTTTCCCAAATTAGTTTGCACTTCCAGGTTCCACGTGAACATGTCTTTTGGAGGGACCCCTGTTCAACCCACTCAAAGGGCAGACTAGGCCAGGAGTTGGACTAATTAACTAGGTAAACTTGGTGCTTGCTAGGAAACATCAGGAATCAGGGGCAGGAGATCCTCCCTGACATTCTACTGCATTCTGTTCTTGTGGTTAACTAGATGTAGATCAGCAAAATCATCCTGTTCCCACCCTATGTTTGTGTTGTTGGCAGTATCTTCAATTTGTGTTTGTTTCATTGGTAATCTTTTAAAGCTATTTGTTCATTTTGTGAGCATTAATGGTTAAAATTAGATAATATAGTCTATATATCCATTTTACTGCACACAAATAAGGTGCCATGTCAACACTCATGGGTTGTAGAACTTCCCAAATTCTGTAAAAATGCTTTATGATCTGTATATAATCTGGACCAAATGAGGGTACCCTTGTTGCTATACATATGAAGTATTAAGAAAGTTTAATTTCTTTCTTATGAAGAATTAAATAGAAACAAGTGTTTTCCTTCCACACTTCAATGGATGAGCACTTCCTAGGATGTTTGTCTCACTTTGGAACACATAGATTTAGATTATCATCGATTGCCTAACAGTGCTTCTTGCATTGATGGAGACAGTCTGTGTCTGTATTGTCCTGATATAGAACTTTTGAAATGTGGGTAGTGCAACTGAAAATGAAATTTTATCTCATTTAATTTTAATTGATTTAAATTTAAATAGTCACATGTGGTTGGTAGACTGTATTGCACCCCAGGCAAGATATTTGTCAATGTTTAGGCTAAAAATATTGGGAGAGTAAAATAAAGAGAATAAATTAGAATAACCATAATTGCCTATGATCTAATTTACATGTCTCTATTGTAATGACATTAAAACAAGCAAAAGAAAAAAATTTATCCTGAATTAGTAGCTTATCTGTTTCTGTTAAAAGTTTTAAACTTGTTTCAACTTGGAATTTTTTTCATAACTGAAAATTAGATGAAATTTTAGCTTCTTCTCTGATTATATTCTCTGGGTATACATTTATAACTAAATTATTCCTCTGCAGGCAGAATACTGATAAATATAGAGTAGAAATTTGTTAACTTGAAGACATGCTTACTCGAGAAATTAAGTGTAAATGTCAGTCATATCACATCGTTCTGTGTTGAAAATATAAATTAATGTGCACAGAAAAGTTTCACTTTTAGAAGACTGTAACAAAAAAGGTAGCTTTTTTTTCCTGTGTAAGTACAATACTACTTAAAGGTGTAATATTTTGTAATGTGGAAAGTATCACTTTGTGTTAAGTTTATTTTTCAGACATGTAAGCAGGCCTTACTATCATTTCTCAATTATGCCATAAGCATTTTATTACATAAAACTTTTAACTTAATAAATAGTTGGTCCTTGCATTTTATTTTTGTTCTTATTGAAATGTGGCCATTGAAGTGAGAGAACATTTCTTGTTCTTACTATGAATGCATATAATACAGCGTTATATTTTAATTCATTTAAAAAGGTAATATGAAAATAAGTACACTCACATAATAGTTTAAATTTTGGAGTATTGTTTTCTTCATTTTTAACCAGAAGAGGGTGTACTTTAGACTTGATGTTTTTGAACTGAAAGTACCCCTTTTAACTGCTGCTGTAAATTTGATATTCCTTTAAAAGTTACCAAGTTATTTAATTCCAGAATGTCCCTGAATGTATATGGAGGAGATGGAGGTGTATATAAACAATTTAGTGCACATAAGACTCAAAAAACATCTCTTAGTACACCTTTAATTCAGTAGTATAACTTTGTTTTCCTAGAGTTTTCTTGTTACTTTCTGAAAATAAATTCAGAATTATGGGGAAAAAAGCCCCTCAGGAGACCCTTTTAAAGTTTTATCTTTAAATACCAAGAAAAAAAGAAATCCTATGTATGTAATTTAAATTCAATTAAGGAAAAAAGAAATACTGTAAATGAAAACAAAGCCGTGGCTAGAAGGTGATATTTATTCCTTTATGTTTTGACAGCTTGAAGGTCCATGTGTTTTGCAAATTCAAAAAATCCGCAACGTTTCTGCACCAAAGGATAATGAAGAATCTCAGGCTGCACCAAGAATGCTGCGTTTGCAAATGACTGATGGTCACATAAGTTGCACAGCAGTAGAATATAGTCATATGTCAAAAATAAGGTACTTGACACCTTATTTTGTGTATTTGTTACAGAATGCTTGAAGGTACTAAGTGAAATGGAATTTAAGAATTTTGAAAAGGAGGAATGGACTCCTAAGTGCATCTTAAAATTTTTCAGAAGAAATGAAGTTTCTGTTTCTACTCTAACTGTATAGGAAAATATTTAAGAATGGGATTAGTTAATCCTTGCTATGATGTTAATCATAAAAACTAAATATAAGGTGTTCTTGCATGAAAAGTAATCTTTTCAAGGTCATCCAAGAATTGCCCAGAAAAATTTCTATGAGTAAATATGATTCCTTCCTTAACAGCTGTGTCCATCACACTATTTAGTGTTTCAGACAAGTTTTATAGACCAGTTTTCTTAGGAAATAATTGAAGCTAGAGAGGTTTGTGTGCCCCCCCAACTTTTTAAGAGGAGGAGGAACTCTTTAAGGAATAATTCTCCAAATCCTTCTGGCTATTTTTATGAGTCTTTCATTTTTTAATTTCCTTTTTATTGAATAAATTTGATGTGTAACATTGTGTAAATTTAAGGTATACATAGTATTACTTTGATACACTTATATATTGTAACATAATTGCTTATCACTTTATATAATTATAGTACAATATTATTGTCTATATTCATTATAGTGTACATTATTAAATCTCTATGGCTTATTTGCTAAGTTTGTACCCTTAAACACCATCAGATGTAACCCTTCCCTTTATCCCCTGATAACCACCATTTTACTGTTTCTTTACAGGTTTAATAAGCCTGTATATATATATAATATCATGCAGTACCTGTATTTCTCTGACTTATCTCAGCATTATGTGTTCAAGGTCCATCCATGTTATTATCACAAATGACTGGGTATCCTCCTTTCCTATGGCTGAATAATATTTCATCATGTATATGTAACACACCTTTTTTATCCATTCATCCATTGATGAGCATTTGAGCTAAGATTCCATATCTTGGCTATTGTGAATAATGCTGCAATAAACATGGGAATGCTTATGTCTTGTCAAAGTCCTGTTTTCATTGCCTTTGGTTATATGCTCAGAAGTGGAATTGCTGAATCACATTGTAGATCTATGTAAAAATTTTTGAGAAACCTCCATATTGTTTTCCATAGTGGTTCCAATTGTAGATTCCTACCAACAATTTATTCCCATTTCACCACATCCTTACCAGCACCTGTTATCATGACTTGATGATAGCCATTCTAACAGGTGTGAGGTGATACCTCATTGTGGTTTTAATTTGCCATTTCCCTGATGATTAGTGATGTTGAGCATCTCTTCACATGCCTATTGGCCATTTTGATGTCCTATTTGGAAAAATGTCTATTTTAATTTCTGCCCATTTTTTAATTGGTTGGTTTTTGTGTTATTAAGCTGAGTTCTTTATATATTTTGTATCTCAACCCCTTATCTGATAAATGATTTGTAAAATTTTTCTCCAATTATGTAGGTTATCTTTTCATTTTGTTAATCATTTCTTTTGCTGTACAGAAGCTTTTCAGTTTGATATAGTCCCATTTGTTGAATTTTACTCTCTTCTTGTGCTTTTGGCTCATGTCCAAGAAAACTATTGCTAAGACCAATATCTAAGAGCTTGTCTCCTGTATTTTCTTCTAAGAGACTTATGGTATTAGTCTAAATGTTTTCAGTCTTTGATCCATTCTGAGTTAATTTTTGTGAGTAGTGTGAGATAGAAGCTCAATTCCATTGTTCTCCATGTGTTTCTATGAAAAGTTTTTAGAGTCATGCTTGTTGGAATGAAAAACAGCAATGAAAAGGAAGGGAAAGTGTCATTTTTTCCCTCCGTGTCTCAATTAGGACAGCTTGAGCTCTATTTTCTGAGGTGGGAATTTTCACTGGACATTGGCAAAGTCCCCTCCCTCCTTCATAGTCATTTTATATATACATGTTTGCTGCTTGGGTCCTTTGAGCTTTTTCAGTTAATGTAACATCATAGACCATACTTCTTTCCTGAACAAGCATTTAACATCATTTAGCATCCACTGTGCTCTAGTGCCTTTATTCAGGGCTGGAGATACAAAGGTAAAAAGAGTTAGATTTTGTCCCTAAGTAGCTCATATGCTAATGAGGTATGCACATAGGCATACAAGTCATAATAAATATATCAACTGAAAAGATTAGGAATCCAGAAAATTATCTCTAGTTGGGGGAGCCAAGGCTGGGACTTAAAATATAAGTAGGCATTTGGGGAGAGATGGATTAACACAGCAGATGAGTGAAAAGTTGGTCGTTAACTGGATGGTTAACAAAAAAGAACATTATTTTCTGTGAATTATAGTAACTCATAAAGATGTAAAATTTCTGTAATTGTTACTGGTCAGATATCTTTTTCTGTATTGAAACTAATTTTATACAAACTTTATCTTTGTAATGCATAGTCAAAGCTCAGAGGAAAAAATAGCAAATCTTAGATTTGTTCAGCATGCCAGAGTTGGAAAAGTGCTTTCATGTCTTACTCTAATTTATCTTTACCACAAATTTGTGAGGTGTGATTTTTATTATCCATTTTTTAAAAAAAATTTTGAAACTGAAGTTCATTTCTTTGTCAGCATGTGGAAAATGATAGTCTTGTACTTGATCTTCAGACTTCCTTTATTTAAACTATAGACAGTCTCATGAAAAATAGTTTTCCTATTAGTGCATTATGAAGAACTTGACAGCGTTCAAAACTGAATTCCAGTTCTGGGGAGGAGCTTCATTGCGTTTGAACTCTTTTTATTTTATCTTATTTTTGCTTTGCTTTAGCTTGAACACACCACCTGGAACTAAAGTTAAGCTCTCAGGCATTGTAGACATAAAAAATGGATTCCTGCTCTTGAATGACACAAACACCACAGTTCTTGGCGGTGAAGTGGAACACCTTATTGAGAAATGGGAATTACAAAGAGTAAGTATAAACCAGGAAGAATGGATTGAACTTTTAAAATACTGTACTCTTTTTATTGCATTAAGGAGACCTTCCCATAATGAATAGTAAAATTAGTCTTTTCTGCCAGAGTTGAATAGAATGAAACACAGTGATCTTTACAGAAACTATCTGCCTTTGTTTAAGCATATTGTTCCTCTAAAGCACCTGTCATTTTTCAGTATTTGTTATATGTTATTATGTATTTTTAAACTCATTACTTACTTTTTTAAACTGCCAAACTACCAGTTATGAAAATGTGTGTAATGTATCTGTGTATCATTCTTTCTACAAAAAACAGAAGTATTTGTGCTTATATCTGAATATAATTATGTATATTTGTCTCATCTGTATATATACATGCATACTAGTGAAAGCAGATTAGAATTTCACTATAATGACGGGGTTCATGTTGCATTTATCTTCCTAATCACATTAGTTGATGTTTGCCCCATTTACGTTAATAATTATTTTCATCCTTATAGTCATCTAGGTTTTCTAGTGATTATTCATCTGTTTTGCTTCCAGCAGCGAATTCTGTTGATCTGCTGCAGTCAAATCTTGTATCAATCCCTTGCTCTCTAGTTTCATTGCCATTCCTATAGTTGTTCTATTTTTTTTCCCTTTATTTTCAAATGATCATGACTTTATTATTATAGTTTAAGTCTAGTATCTATTACTTGGACTGCTACAGTAGCTTTTTAACTGGCCTCTCCACATATCCTTTCCCCATCTTCTAATTTATTTTTTATACTTCTGCAAGATTATCAGTATACAGCACACCCTGCTTTTATTTCAATGCTTAATTTGGGACTGTTTACCTAGTTCCAGTTTACCATTTCAACTTTCTAAATTATTTCACATAGATTTTCATCTACTCAAATGGAACTACTTACTCTTTCTTTGGTTTTCTATGCTTTCCTTGGTTATACTTTAAAAGGAAAAAAAAAAGATTTTCCCACTTTTATGGCTTTCATTTTGTTTCTTTCTTTTGCTAATCCCTGCACAACCAAATTGTTCCCATGCTTTTAGGCTCACATGAACTCCTTGCTTTTTCACCAAGTAAAATAGCTGCTCCTTTACAAATTCTTGGAATAGTTCACCTGTGTTAAAAAGCATATTACTTTTTACCTAGCACTAAAATTATGTTAATTTCTTGTCTCCTTTAATAGATTGTAAGCTTTTTAAGGTCAGAATTCTTGTTTTTGTCTTTGTTCAATTCTATGAATATCTGTTGAACACTCTCTAGATGATTGTGCTGGGCTCTTGCCATGTGTATATCATGTAATCCTCCTAACATATAAGGGAGTGTTATGTCCATGTAGATCAGAAATGTACATAAAGAACTATTAAATAACTCTACTTTTCAATTTTATGATTAAACAGCTAATAGGTGATAGATCTGAGCCTTCCTGTTTCTCCAAAGTGATAGCCCTTAGTCTTACATGCAGTAAACATCATAACAAATAGTTGTGACATGAGTGAATTACAAAGTACATGAAGCTATTTATTCTCTGATCTAAAATTGATGTTTTTGTGCTACCCTCAAATCTTGCATGTTATCTAGAATGAGCCAAGAGGCCTAACAATATCTAAAACTTTTGGTATTTTATGCTATGTTACTCTTCTATTTTTTTGAGTTTGAAAGTGCCTCTATTTGGGAGGAAAATTAATAAGGGGATTCAGGCACATTTTTTATTCCTTAGTACTTATTCCTTCTAATAGGAATATGCTACGTTTTAGGCTCATGTACTATGCAGTATAAGATAACCTTGCATAATTGCATCGTTTAGCTGAAAATGTTACAAAAGCATGTAATTCAGAAGTGGGTTGATAGTTTATATAAACAGTCAAGTTCGTGAACTTTGAATTTCACAGAGAAATCCTATGTAATTCATGTGATCTTTTCCTTTCAGAAGTTGATACACTATATTTTTATTATCATTAGAGATTTTTTAGTGTGGTAAGATGTTCTTAAATCAGATCAATACCTTACATAATTTTCCCAACCAACCTCACTAATTATAAAGTCAGTTAAACACTCCTAGAAATTTTCTGACACCACACCACAACACACACACACACACACACACACACACACACACACACAGTTTATTAGTAGTTTGATAGTTGTCCTTGTAATGGTTTATAATATATCTTTGTATTTTGTTTCCTGAAAGTTGTGTTAGTATTTCATGTTAACGGGCAATAAAAATTTACATTAAAAGAAGTTTAAAAACACCTCAATATGATTATGGCTCCTTTTGTTTTTATAAATTTTTTCTGTTTTGGTAACCATAGCAATGTAGAAATTATGAAGAGCTCATTTACTTGAGCAGCTGGCAGGTGATACACATAGAAATCAAATGTACACATAGAAATCATAAACCAAAGAGTTAATTTTGTAAGTAAGGGGCCTTTAAACATTCTTGTAAATAAATAGGGCAAAGGAACATTGGCAGTTTTTAAACCATGTGTGGGTGTTGTAGCTATACCAAGTTGTCTATAGATAGGTGAAGAAAAGAAAAACATAAACCTCAAGGTGTTTTGTATGTTTGACAAGACAGGTTCTAGGGAGTTTTGTACCAGATGTAATTTGCAAAGTTATGTAGTTCTATACATTTATTTATCAAACCTCCCAAAAAGACCTGGATTTTTTAAATGTCTTTTGTGTGTGTATGCGGTAAAGTACATATAACATTTTAACTCTTTTTAAGTGTAAAATTTAGTGGCATTAAGTTCATTCATATTATTGCACAATCATCACAACCATCTACTTTCAGATTTTTTATGTTCCTAAACTGAAACTCATACACAAAACAGTAATTTCCCATCCCCTCTTCCCCCAGTCTCTGACAATTACCATTCTACTTGCTGTCTCTATGAATTTGACTACTCTAAGAACCTCATATAACTGGAATCATACAATATTTGGCCTTTGTATCTGGGTTACTTTATTTAACATGTCTTCAGGGTTCTCCATGTTGTAGCATGTGTCAGATTTCCATTGTGTGTATATACCACAATTTGTGTATTCATCTACTGACATACATGACTGTTGTTTTCACCTTTTGGTTGTTGTAAATAATGCATTATGAACGTGGGTGTACAAGTATCTATTTAAGTTCCTGCTTTCAGTTCTTTGGGGTGTATACCCTAAAGTAGAATTTCTGGGTCACATGATAATTCATTGTGTAATTTGAGTAAGTGCCATACTGTTGTGCATACCTACTGCACCGCTTATATTACTACTAGCACTGCACAAGGGATCCAGGTTCTCTACATCCTCACCAACCCATATTATGTTTCCTTGATAATAACCATTCTAAAAGGTGTGAAGTGGAATCTCAATGTGTTTTTGAATTGCATTTTCCTAATGCTTAGTTATGTTTAGCATCTTTTCATAGATTTATTGGCCATTTGCATATCTTCTTTGGAGAAATGTTTATTTAAGCCCTTTGCCCATTTTTAATTGGTTGGTTTTATAAGTTATTGGTATTTTCTGAATATCATTCTTTATCAGATATTTTGCAAATATTTTCTTACATTCTGTGAGTTGCCTTCTCACTTTCTTGATAGAGTCTGTTGATCCACAAAAATTTTTAATTTTGTTGATGTTGAGTTTTATCTGTGTTTTTCTTTTGTTGCCTATGCTTTTGGTGTCATATGTAAGACATCACTGCCAAATCCCATGTCATGAAACTTTTCCCCTGTTTTCTTCTAAGAGATTTGTGGGCTAGCTTTTAAATTTATGTCTTTGATCTACTTAAAATTAATTTCTATACATGATAGAAGGGTCCAACTTCATTCTTTTACATGTGGGTATCCTGTTTTCCCAACACCATTTGTTGAAAAGACCCTCCTTTCCCTAATGAATGGTCTTACCATCCTAATCAAAAATCATTTGACTATATATACAAGGGTTTATTTCTGTACTCTATTTTACTTTGTTGGTCTATATGTCTGTCTTTATTCTAGTACCAAACTGTTCTGATTACATAACTTTGTAGTAAATTTTATCATTGAGAAGCATGAGGCCTTTTTTAGTATAGTTTTGGCTATTCAGGGTCCCTTGCAATTCCATATGAATTTTAGGATGAATTTTTCTGTTTCTGCAAAAAATGTTTTTGAGACTTTGATGGGGATTGCAGTGGATCTCTAGACCACTTTGAGTAGTACTGACATCATAACAATACTAAATATTCCAGTCTGTGGCGACATGGTATCATCTTTAATTTCTTTTTAGCAATCCTTTGCGGTTTCAGTGTTCAGATCTCTTAAGTTTAGCTTTAAGTTTGCTAAGTATTTTATTATTTTTGATGCTATTATAAATGGAAGGTTACAACTGGCAGTTTTTTTTGCTCAGCTAGTTCTCAGCAATGAGTTAAGAGAATTTATATATAGGTTTCTGGAGCTTCTTTTCTTTGCTGGTCCCTCTTTTCTAAAACTCAGCCCCACAACTTCCAGTTGCTTCAACATGTCTGAACGATGAGATTGATTTTCTTAACTTGACTCAGTGCTCTCTGTCTGCATCATGTCTCCAAGCAGGAAGACAGAGCTCGCTTGTTTTTTTTTTCTCTTTCTCTGAGGGATTATTGTTCTGTACTTCTTATTGTCGTTTGTTTTTTTCAAGGGATTATTGTTCTGTACTTCTTATTGTCGTTTGTTTTTTTCAATCAGTTGTTTCTTACATGTCCAGATTTCTAGTTGTTTATAGAGGGAGATTTAAGTCTGAGTCTTGTAGGTTCATCAGGATGGCAAGTAGAAATCCTGTGTTTTTAATTGTACAATGTGTATTTAGAGGTGCTATTATTGGCAACTTATGCAAGCTTTTTAATGAATTTACAATATAAATTGAAATGGTTTATTGCTGTTTGAATAATATCTTTCTTATATCTAAAGTAAAGCTAAGGAAATGACTCCTAGATAATATTATGCATTCATTGGTTTAAGAAAATAGGGTAAGATCTTAAATACAGCTTGCAAAGAAATGTTGCATTCATATACAGTTTAAGTTATTCTTTGATTAGTCAGTTGAATAGTCTTGTTAGTTTTAGTGTTCTTATATAACTTGACATAAAATATATAGTATTTATTATATAATGCAAGAACTCTAGAATATTTGAAAGGGCACATGGTGACTTTTTAACTTTATTTTTCACACTATTTTACATCATATTTTAAGCTCAATATTTTCTGTAATAATAATTACTAAGAATGCACAAAAAGTTTAATGTTGAGATTATGTACTAAATGACAACTAGTGCTTGACATATATATATGTTAACACCTTTAAAACAAAACAAATAGGAGGAATAGAGGACTGAAAGATGATGACATTTTTGAAGAACTTTATGATGTAAGAAATTGCTTTTCCTAGGAGGATTTTTTTTTCATTTTCTTAATATATTGCTATCTCTCTAATCCTAAATCAAAGTTAGGGAGAAAAGAAAACTAAAATTATAGGGTTTGGAAGGTTATTTTTATTAAAGGAAAGTCAGTTAGTTGAATACTTCTTCAAAGTATAAATTGATTTGAAAAATAAGACTTTAGTAAGGAAGTTTACCATAATTGAAAGCAACCTTCATATTATGAACTATAGTAATCTGATCTGTTTAAATAATTAGAACCTTTATCACCTTTATCAGTATCCATGTGAGCTGTTGTTAGTCACAACTCTTCTGATACCTAATGTGTAGTTTTCCACACCAAGCAATTCAATTCTCTGTGGACACCAATCAGACGTCCTGAAATTTAACTCATTTCTGACACTACTTGCTTTTGAGTTAGCACAGACTCAACAGGTTAAGGACTCAATCTCACTAAATTGCCACCCACTTCAGATGCCAATTACAAGTAGGGGTTCCCAAGTTACCACACTTCTGTCCACTTTGGTTACAAATTGGGTGTTTCATGACCACCTGCTCAGGTTCAATACCTTGCTATGACAGCTTCAAAACTCAGGTTAGCACTTAATTTAGTATTACCGGTTCATTATAAAGAACACAAATGAACAGCCAGATGAAGAAGCACAAGGAAGGATCTTCTGTCCTCATGGAGTTTAGTGTGTTCCACCCTCCTGGTACATGGATGTGTTCACTAACCTGGAAGTTCTCTGAACCTCTTCGTTTAGGGTTTTTATGGAGGTTTGTAACTTAGGCATGATTGATTAAATCATTGACTTAAGTGATTAGCTCAGTCTCCAGCTTTCTAATCACATGGTTGGTTCCTTTGACAACCAGCCCCTACCCTGAGCTATCTAGGGGCCCATCAGTAGTCACCTCATTAGAATAAACACAGCTATGGTCCAGGGAGCTTGTTTTGAATGACGAATGATGCCCCTCTCACCTCTGTCACTCAGGAAATTTCGGGGGTTTTAGGAGCTGTGTTCCAGCAACTGGGGAAGAAGGCCAGATACATATTTTCTTATTATATCACAATATCACAGTCTAAAAATCATTTTGAAGATAATTTCTAGGCAATATGTCATATTACAGTTTTAATGTTTTGAAGGTGAAATTCTTGTTACCCAACTTTGTTGTCTTTGAATTTACTATTTTGTTGAGATTTTTTACTATTCTCTTATTATGGGAGCAACTTGATAAATAGTTCTTAAAATTGCATGTGAATGTATATTTTGGTATGGGGAGATGAGGGGAGAGCCTTTGCCTAATTATTGAAGTTAGGAATAAAATATTGTTTATAGCTTGAAATTATTATAGAAGCCTTTTCCCCCCATTTCTTATAAGAATCTATTAAAATAAGTGAAATCCTAGTGCACTGTAAATGTTGTAGATGTATTTTTTATGTATAATTTCTGTTTCATGACTCATTTTTCCCACAGAGCTTGTCAAAACACAATAGAAGCAATATTGGAACCGAAGGTGGACCACCTCCTTTTGTGCCTTTTGGACAGGTAGGGACTTTCATGTTGGCAGATGAATTTTAATCAGCAAAAAGTGTCTTTCATTTGTATTCAAGCTGTGTTTAGTTTTGTGCTGAACTATTCATTTGAAGGTCATGGAATTATATGGAAATATATTAACTTTGGGTATTTAATAATTGTGGGGTCTTTTTCTTTAATTAAATTGTTGGTTGTAGATCCTTTTCTCAAGAGCTGTTAACCCAAAGATTGAAGCAATTAAGAGGCACACCTGAAGAGTAATTTAGAACTAATTAAGATAGGAGGGTGAGGGGGCATGGGGTTTTTTTGAGAGAAATTTGAAATTAACAAGACAAAAATATGCTATAATTTTTCACTTTGTTCAGTAAAAACAAAAGAGGAATGAAAGTGTCAACACAAGATGTGACACAAAGGCAAGGACACAAGAGGCAGGAAGGGCATCACTGCCCTTCAGGAGAGCATCCTGTCCCAGCCCTCCTTCCTGAGATTCTGTTCTTTAGCCATGATCCAAATTCCCATCTCAGTCACGGACTTAATTTTGTTTCCTTTTGTTATTTTCCTTTGCAATCTCAGTGGCTGTGATCCTTCTCTCACATAAGGTTTTCTGTCTACTTCAGATTTTTTAGTCGGACTTGAGGTAGTTCTTCAGCTGGCCGATATCTTATGTCTTCTTTGTGCTCAGCATCAAATTACATTCATAACAGTCTCCTCCAGCCTTTTCCTGTTTTATTCCTGACAAGTGTGAGAATAATGCTTATGGCAGCTTTCACTTTGCTTCATGATGCCACCAAAATTTAGCTATTGGTAATCTGCCTTGCATTTGCTCTTATTTATCTTTGACAGTGCTAGCTCAGAGTGAAGATAAGTTTGGGACACAGCAGGTAGGAAACAGAGACCTATATCTTGATAACCCTTTAAAAAAATTTTTGGTGTGAAAAACATGTCTAGTTAGTTGATCAGGAGATAAATTGGTAGGATCTGTGGACTGGCATCCTCTTCAAAAAACTTTTTGTAGGATCTACATAAAATTAAATCTAAAATCATTCTCGCATCATGACTATTTTGAAAATATTTTAAAAATAGGTCGATTTTAACTGTGTTGGACAGACAAGATAAAAGGAGGCATGATGCCTTATGGCCCATGTTGATGATATTCTCTCTTCTACTGGTATAATAAAACTCCCAAAATTAAAACTGAGTGTAAACATTCTAATAATTTATATTTAAAAATAATAAATTATATGTTTGTAAAAATTTACTTTTTCCTTAAACATTTGGTGATAATATTTCTTTCATAAATTGCTTAGAGAAACTCATGATCTAATTATTTTAAAGAATTTGAAGTGTGAATTATAGCTTTTTTATTGGAAGTATAATAAATGTTATAGTTTCAATAATACTTATTTGTTTATAGAGTCCATTCTGAAAAATTCTTATTCAGCATATCTTAGCATTGTATACAGGTTAAAGGTAATTCTGGCAGTGTGTTGGTATCAACACAATGTATATATTATATTGCTGAAAATCTCTATGTGTATAACACATTTGTTGCAGAGTTTTTTTTTTTTATCAATGAGTTGAGAAAAGGTAAGTGCATAGAATTTTTACTGCTAGGATTGGAAGGGGAACATAATTCAGGGCTTATTTTTAGATAGTGATAGCTTTCTTAATTTATTTTATGATACTAAAAATAAAAAAACTGTGTAGCCTGATTGAAGGAGTGGGTATCTTTTTAGGTTTTGGTTTGTAAGTTCAAGGACATCTTTTTTATATGTTAAACTAACCATACTACTTAACCCTTATATGAATATTGGGGCATAATATGGAAATCAAGCTCTTAAAAAAAGTTTACCTCTTCTTGTGTAATTATCTATCCTGTTTGAAATATAAATCATTTTTACCAGTTACATTTATTACTTTAATTGGTTTTCTACCTTTATTTTTAAATCTGGGGAAGAATTACATTTTTATGGTTCTCAGTTGTTTTAAGTGATACAAACATTTCTTTTGAAGAAGCATTACTTTCTTCTGAAAAATTTGAATCTCTTTTGGAACTTCTGTAGTGATTTATTTTTATTTATTATTACCAGAAGTGTATATCTTATGACCAAGTGGATAGCAGAGATCTTGATCGACGAAAGACATTGCAAGTTACAATGCCTGTCAAACCTACAAATGATAATGATGAATTTGAAAAGCAAAGGACTGCTGCTATTGCAGAAGTTGCAAAGAGCAAAGAAGTAAGAAACTAAATCATTATGAATTTCTCTTATTTCTTGTTATGTCCTATTTAAATTACCCATGATTATCATCTTTTCACATTAGTAACTAATTGCACAAACTTTTGACATTTTTCTTATATTCTCCATCAGTAGAAAATGCCCTGGTACCTTATGGAATCTTAAGCATGCATATTTTACTCATATGTTTTTTGTCTAAGTGTCCTTGACAATTTTTTTGTTATCCTTGATAGCAAACTTATTATTTATTTCTGAATGCTTCTTATCTCCGTCTTCCTTTTCTTAACAACTTCAGGGTAACAACTCAAACAATACTTTTTATTATGTCAGAGGGTTTCCTATTGTTGGTTGGGCTTGATACCACTTTTTGAGGATAATTTTCCCCTTATAACAGCAACTTCGGAGGAATGCAGGTAAAAATTGGTGGCTCAGGATTATTATTTTTGTTAGTTTTCATTCTTAAATCTACTTATATATAGTAAAAAAATAATTTTTATCTTTGGGTTATATGTATTTATTCACACACACACACTGTCACATACTATTTATAGCCAAATAGTTTTCTTTTAATTATTTGAAATTCTTGCTTATTTGAAATAGGTATTTTCTCTAGTTATTTATTTTTAGACTTTGATAAGAAACTTTAGTTTATGAAGTAGTTGCTTAGACAGACTTTTCTTAACCAGTGAGATTGAAATACTTTCCTTCATCCAGAACCAGTAATGAAGCTTAGCTAACAACTATTTTCCTACTTAAATTCAGTGTTGGAGTAGGAGACTTACTGAGTTTTGTTTGCCTTCCTGTAGTGTGTCTTTCTGATGTTGGTCTAACATAGGGGCCAAAAGCAAAGCTGTGGAATCAGGCAGCCTGGAAGCATATCCTGCTGACTGCCTCACTTAGCTTATGTGGCTTTTTGTGCCATGTTTTTCTTTAGCTATGAAAAGGAAAAATAATAGCACTTACTTCAAATGGTTGCTATGAGAATTAAAATTAATACTCTTTAAAACATTTAGAACACTACATGTCACAGATCATGATATTCCTTTGCTAAAAGCTCTCAATAAGTATGTCCATTGCTATTCTTTAGTGTTTATTCTAAGGCACGTTTAAAAAAATCATTTTACTATTTCTTAAATTAATGCATTTTATATAGTTTACATTAAATATGGTTCTTCCCAAAAAGCTATTAAAATTAATGGAGTTTAAGAAGAGGATATTGGATATACATCAGTTTCTTAATGATTGTAGCAAAGTTATTCTTTTGATTTATATTTTTCTTGTATAAACTTTATTCCCAAAATTTTGTTTTATGTGGTTACAGCAACCTACTTACTGGAATATAGTCAATGAACTGTAGTATGCTTCCTTTTTTAAAAACCATGATTGATCACATTTATGTTTCTCCATAATTATTTGAAAATAAAGAATTATAGTTTTCTGAAACAGACTTAAAACCTCTCATTTATATATGAGAGAACTGATGGAAGTTTGAAACTAAAGGAGCTTGCCCAAGGTTACCCTAGTGACAATTCTAGGACTAAATCTGTGTGTATTATAGGAGAAGATTATACCTGTAACTCTGTATAGGTAAGTACACACATACACACACATATATATTTAATTTGAAAGTCTGAACAACAAAATCTCATTAACAATGTAATTGCTCTGAAAAGGTGTTTTCTGATCATTTAAACATTTACGTGGATTTGGTAGAGTCTACTGCAAATGATTAAATTATGGCTTTTATTCCTATTTTCCTATATTCTTTCATTCAGCAAATACTTTTTGAGACTCTATTATATACCAAGAAATGTTTTAAAAGCTTAGGTTAAATCAATGAACAAAATAGACAAAAGATCCTTGCCTTTATCAAGCTTGTATTTTAGTAAGAGAGAGAGACTATTAGAATAAAAAGCATGTAAATTATACAGTAGGTTGGAAGTTGATAAGTGTTTCAGGAAAAAGAAAAAGTAGAGTAGGATGAGGAGTTGGAGGTGCCAGTTTGGGTAGGGAGGCAGGGTGATTGCAACTTAAAATAGTCAGAAAAATGGTAAGAAAAATGAGAATTATTTGAAATTCCTGTATAGTTTGCATTCTAGTAATGACAGTAAATAAGGTAAATATACTACATGAGTAAATTTTGTATTTCAATTTTAAATACAGTAGTTTGCTTAGGCCTGAAGTTGGTGTGACTTGATCCAAGACTTGAGGGAGGTAAGAGAATTATCTAAGAACAATGTTTCAGGGAGAAGGGACAGCCTTTGCCAAGGCTCTCAGGCAGGAGTACTTGATCAAGGAATAGCAAGGTGGACAATGGAATCAGAGCGAGCGAAGGGACAGGTAGTGGAATATAAATTCAAGAGTGATCATGGAGGTCAGCTTGTGTAGGGAGGGCCCTGTATGCAGTCTTATAGACACTGGTCTTTATTCAGAAAGAAATGGGCAGTTTTTAAAGGGTTTTCAGCATGACAGCGATATCGACTGACCTCCATTTTAAAAGTCTAGTTCTAGCTGCTATATTCAGGATAGATTGTAGAGAGGGAAGGTTAGAATCAGATAATTAGGAAATTATTGAAGTAATCCAAGGAAGGGAAAATGATAATAGCTTGGATAAAGATGGCAGCTGTGTGGGTAAGCAAGTGGTCAGATTCCAGAATTTTGAAAGTAGAGCCATCAGTGTTACTGAGATACTGAATGTGGAGCATGAGAAAAGTGTCTTGAATGATTCCAAGGGTTTTGCTCTAAGAAATTGGTAGGTTGTTTTCTTTGAATTGGGGAAGACTGGGATAGAACAGGTTTGAGAGGAGAAAGATCTGGTGTTCTGTTTTGAACATACTACTGTTGAAGTGCCTATCAGACACATATAGTAATATTTAATAGGCAGTGAGACTTACAAGTGTTGTTGAAGGGTGAGCTTTGGAATGGATATGTGCGTTTGAGAGTTGTACGCATATTTATAATCTTGAGACCAAATGAGGTCATCAAAGGAATAAATGCTGAAGGGCAGAGAAAAGGGTACAGAGTGAGCCATGTAGCATTAAAGGTTGGATGAAAGAAGTTGAACCAGCCAAGGTGTGACCAGTAAAACAGGATCAAAACAAAAGAAGGGAGAGGTCGTGTCATGGAGGAAGGAGTGTTGAACTCACCAAAGGCTGTTGGAAGGTCATGTTAGATGTGGCCTGATAATTACTGTAGGATTTCAGAGGTTGTTCATTCACTCCACATGCTTCTAGATGTTCATATGGGTGGAAATACAATAAAATATGAGGTGCTAAGATAACTTATAAGTGTATAGATTTCAGTGGCAGGCAGGGGATCGGGGAGCTGATGTGAAAATCTATGCAACTTCTTTAATGATTGGAATTTCAGTTTTATCAGTGAGGAAGTAAGCAAGGTCACCGGTGACAATGGGAGAGATGTTGGAGGTCTGAGGAGTGAGGAGAACATATTAAATAGTGACCTAGGGAAATACAGTAAGGTTGCTAGGTGGCTTCAAGGGTCCATGTGAGTTTCACCATCGTGATGCTCTCTCAGATGCCTGATTCGTACAGTATGGACAAGATAGTATGGCTCACAAAGACAACTCCAGTCACTTTATGTGTAATGTTTAAGTTGTAATGTTTGTGGATACTTACATGTTTAGTAAGTGACATGTAAAACAGTGAAAAGCAATTCTGAAAGTGCTATTTATCCTATTCCTTATTCTATAAAATGTAAAGAAAATAATAAGGAAATGCATCCAGAAAATGGGACTATTTCATTGGCACCAAAAGAAAAAAAACACTTTTGGAGTTATGGACTTTAAAATATGGAAATATATTTAATTTGGAAAAGGTCAGGCTCCAGAGTTTTAAGATAACTATGTTCTAATATATTAAGCAAAACAATAATGTTGCCATCTGTGATGTATGTTTACCATGTGCCAGTTACTGAATTGATCACTTCATGTCAGTGATATCATTTAATCCTCACACTATCCTAGTGAAGTAGGTCTTCTGATCCTTGTTTTAAGATTGAGAAAACTGAGGCTCATGGAAGGTGGAAGTTAAGAGACTTGCCTGAGGACAACACGTAGGAAGTGGCTGAACCAAGATTTAGTCCCAGCCTTGTGTAGCTCCAAAGCCTGTAATTTTAACTATTCTACCTACTAGATATTTAACATGTTGTCTATTAGTGCTTATCTAACATTATTTTTCTATTTTTCAGCATTTCTCTATTTCTTTACATTTTCATCTGATTCAAAATAATTTTCCAATGTTCTATGAATTTATAAAAAACATGTTTTCTTACTGTAATAATTTTAAACCATTGATTATTATGTCTAATAAAATTGTCTTGACTTCTTCCTCTTTTATTAAATCTGTTAGATCAATAAAGATATTATATAAGCAGATGTTTAACTTTATATTGTGTAAGTAACAGCTGTGGGATGCTTTTCAGTTATGAATTTGTATATTTCCAAACTAATATTCTTTGTGTTCTAGTCTTTTCACAGTAGTTTTGATAAAACAAAACTGAGATCAAATCAAATTTTCAAATTTGATTATACATACAATTATTAAAATAAGCCAAGCAAAATAAGAAATAGGGACTTCAAAGCTCTTATACATAGTAAGACATATCATGTCATTGAATGTAAATAATAAATTAGTACTGTGAATTTTAATTCAGTGTTAGAATTTATATTATTTGTTTACCTTCTAAGATTATAGAATCATATTACTGGACCATGGTCCTAATGTTACCGATTCCTAGACAGGTTTAGTGCCCTGGTAAAGATAGCCTTGCTATATAGCTGGATTTGTAATACAGGTCTCATATTAGCCAAGTATTGTTCCTTGGAATCATTTTGACATGTAATTTCCATAATGCTTATATTATTTTATTTTCTTCTATATCATTGTCTATTGTAAGTTTATTCTGATGACTTGCCTTGGAGACTTAAAGATTATAATCATAATTTTTTCATTGCCTCAACTGGACTTGCAGAAGGAAGAGATTATGGAAAATAGATATTTGTTTAAAAAAGAATTAATTAACATTTCACTTTTTTGTGTGTAAAACATAATTAAGAAACTTTTAACTACTTTAGGTTTATTAGATGTTTTTAGTAGTAGCTTAGTCTTTTGAGTTGTTTGTAAGTGCTATTTACTTACATCTCTTTTATCTTTCTCTTTATGTAAAGACCAAGACATTTGGAGGAGGCGGTGGTGGCGCTAGAAGTAATCTTAACATGAGTGCTACTGGTAACCGAAATAGGGAAATTTTACAGAAAGAAAAGTCAGCCAAATCCGAAGGAAAACATGAAGGTGTCTATAGAGAACTGGTAAGGTTAAAGGACCAATCACAATATTAATGTATTCTTCATTATCTTGCTGATTTTTTTATTCTTTCTTGTAACCACCACTGCCCTTGTTCAGTGTATTATGGATAGATGTTATAACTCTGAGAAGACTTTCAGTAAGAGTTACAATCAACTTATGTTTGAAAAATAATTTACTTAAAACTTCCATTTTACTTAAAATTCTAATTTCAGAATAAAATCTTTTGGAATGGATTGATAAAAAGCCATCAAATAGCAGAGACTCAATGGAAATTACATTCTAAAAGATGATATATCAGAAACATATAGTTATCTGCACTTCTCTACCCTTCCCCACATCTTTTCTTAAATTTTGTCTGAAGTGATTTTGTTTTGCTCTTTGACAAAAATATATTGAAACAAATACATATATATCTTATGGACCCAGTTGCAAAACATACCTGGATTTTTAAGATAAATGGCAAGAATCAAGATATTTCTGGTATACCCCATTGTCCTCAGGTATGAGGAAAAGACAAGAATTAATTTTCCTCTCCTTTTAGAGGTTAAATGACTTTGGATGATTTCGTCTGTAGAGTACAGAATATCAAGACTACCTTAAATAGTGGGATTTTATTATCTTGTATAACAAGAAATTCAGAGGTAGATGGTTTCAAACATTGATAAATTCAGTAATCCTATTAGAACTCTGTTTGGCATCTCTGTGCTCTCTTGATCTTCATCTCAGGATCACAGGATTCTCCATGTATTAAATCTTCATGCATAAAGTTAAAAGCCAGGTTGTAAAGGAGGTATTTCTCTGGCTGTGGGTCTATTTTATCAGATAAGACATTTTCTGAAGCTCCAGTGAATTCCATTTATGTCACATTGATTAAAACTAAACATGTGACATGCTAAATCAATCACTGACCAAGGAGTATGAGTTTATAACTGTGGGCCAGCCTGTCTCTTGCTTGAACATATAAACATCTCATTCTTTAAAAAAAAAATAGTTGTAGTTTTCAGGTTAGAGTGGGTACAGTGAACTGAAAAAGACATGTTCCCTAATTCAAGAAGCTCTTAAGCTTCAGTAAATTGAGAACTCTTCTCTAAGGATGTCTTTTTGCCATAGAAGACCAGCAACCAACAGTTTGGGGCTGTTGCAAGGACTGAAAATATGTGAAGGAAGTGATATCATAAAGATGGCAGAATAGAGAGCTCCAGGAATTGGCTACTCCACCAAAACTGTTATTGAGCTGATAAGCACTGTCTGAAGCAACTATTTTATAATTCTGGAACCTATTCAAATATTTGCAGTATCCAGAGTAGTGATTAATAAAGTAACAGGCTGATAACTGGATGCCCATAGGGAAAATGAAATGGAGACTTCAGTGATCACATATCACAAGGAATATAATCTTGGCAAATAAAGTGTGGAAAAGTCAGTAAATAAAATTATAGCTGCAGCCTTCACCAAGTAGCAACAGTAGTCCCTGAGAAAAAGGGAGAATCTGATTTCCAGAATCATCACCATTACAGTCTTTAAAATGTCCAGTTCTCAACAAAAAGTTACAAAGCATATCAAAAAAAAAGAAAGTATGACCCATTCATCAGAGAAAAATATTGGCAGAAACCATCCCTAAAGAAGCCCAGGCATTGAACTAACTAAACAAAGATTTTAAAGTAAGTGTCTTAGATGTGCACAAATGTCTGAAGGGAACCACTGATGAAAAAACTAAAGGAAATCAGGAGAACAAGTAGAGAATATTAATAAAGAGATAGAAATTATATATATATATACACATATATAAACTAGATAGAATTTCAGGAGTGGAGAATATAGTAGCTGAAATAACTTAAGAGTAGTCAGGTTCGAAATCAGACTAGAGCAGGCAGAAGAAAGAATGAGTGAACTTTAATGCAGAGCAGTTGAAATTACTTAGTCTAAGGTGCAGAAAAAGAAAAGAAGAAAAATAAAGCTTAAGGGACTCATGGGGTATCGTCAAATGTACCATAACACACATTATGAGAGTCCCAGAGAGAAAAAAGAGAAAGGGACAGAAAGTTATTTGAAGCAATAATGGCCTTAGATTCCCAATTTGATGAAATCATTAATCTACAAATCCAAGAAACTCAATGAACTCCAATAGGATAAGCTCGAAGG